AACTTGTTAGCAGAAATAATTTACAAAGTAAAGTTTACATTTACTGTATATACATTCAATGGCAGTTCTGGGCCTCTGTAACTGGTGTTATTTTGTAATGAAACATTGTAATTTCAATTAATTGATTAGTTTACAAGACACTAATCAATGTAATTATTACTCATGGGTAAGCAACTAATCAAATAATTCATACATCTTTATAACTTGTCAACTTTACTGCATTGACTCTTCTTGTTATTTTGATTTGACCGATTACCTACAGTCACTTTGCTTGAACATCATGTATTTCTACTGCATTTGCATCAACAAAATTTGAAATGATTTATTATTACCTCCATAGGCTCTACATTCATTTTGTTAATGCTGTTTTGTGATCAGTGTTCTTTTTACATTGTCATCTCATTTTGCTGATTTTACTCATTCTCTGATATAGGTTTGAACACTGTTCATCTTGGTAATCTGTACTGTTTCTCACACCAGATCATGACTTTTGATTTTGATCTGTCATTTACTTCAATGTTTCATTTCTGAATTGTCATCTCTATTTGCTGATTTTACTCATGCTCTATCCTATGTTTTGACATTCAGTTTATCTTATTAATCCATAGTGTTTCTCACTGTGACTTTGATCTTGATCCATCACTTCCTTGTTTCAATTTACCATTTTTTAATTATTCTTAATTCTTTCCTTTTTTAACATTAAGAATAAAATGTACTTAAAATGTTGAAAATTTAAAATTTATGTAGCACTCATTATAAAACCAGCAAAAATGCAATACTTTTCTTTAAAACTGTTTGTGTACTTTTTTTGTACAAAGAAAGTAGAATTTTAACCTTCAAAATTAAGTCTGTAATCTGAAGTAACTAGGGTATACCACTACATACCTTATGATGATGAAAAACTTATTGTTAGACTTTTTTTTGTTTTTAAGATATAAGCTCTTGAACATTATGAAATTCTCCAGCAGTTTGGAGCTAAAAATCAACTCATAAGCTGCTAATAAAGTATCATAAGTCAAGTTAAATAATTAATAAATAATGAACAGGTTATGCTATAAAAAATACTCAGTTGTAGGATTTTGTTCATATTACTGACAGTAATGTATCATTATTGTTAAGGCATTACTCAAACAGGAACAAAGATATTTTGTATTGTTTTTTGTTTGCTGTATTAAGTACAGCTTCTTCATAGAAGTAATCAAGAAAAATGTATTTCTAACCTCAGAAAAAGAACTCTTCTTACTGTCGTTATAGTAATGTTCTTTTCAATTACAGTTTGCCTTGATTTGTGCTACACAAGGATACAGTTGATTGTCCCCTGATATCTGTATGGCTACCATTAGTCTGCTTAAAGTAAAATTAACAAAGATCTTTTGTTAAGCCAATTAAATAATGAAGCTTTGAATGCATTAAATAAATATATGATTACCGTATTAAAAAAAACTTTGTACCAGAACTGGTGTTTGTTTGCAAAATCATTAACATCTGAAGAGTTGCCTTTCTATACAATTCAACTTTTAAACATTAATATACTGTAGAAATTTTGTTGCTGATGTTATGATTAAAAAAAAAAAAATTCAGACTATTTCTGTCATGCTCTGAAAGAAATGAAGGTGCACTTTCTTAAGTTACTTAAATTCTGTTTCTTATAGGCCTAATAAAAAAATATTTGTGTGTGTATGTATTGATTTTGCAATGTGTTCTTTTTATTAGGTAGGCATAAAATGGGTAACACCAAATCGAAACACAAGAAAAGTGAAACATCATCACTGGAGATTTGCCTACCAGAAGAGTTGCATCATGACCCAAGCACATACGAGAAGACTAAATGCTTTCTTACTGCTACTAAATTTGGACTTCTGGAATATACACAGAAACTCTTATCTCAGGGAGTAGATGTTAACAGCTCTAACCTGTTAGGTGTCAGTGCCTTACACTTTGCTGCCAAAGAAGGTCATTATGATGTTGTCAAAGAATTAATAAAAAATGGAGCAGATGTGAATGCCAAAACAATAAAGTTAAACACTCCATTACACCTTGCATCCATTAAAGGAAACATACAAATGGCAGATTTATTGATAGAGAATGGGGCCCATGTCAACATCCAGGCTTCTCTGGGATTTACTCCTCTTTACATGGCTTCCCAAGAGAATCATGCAAGAATGGTTCAGTTACTTCTTGGGTATGGAGCAGACCTTCATTCTGCTGCAGAAGGTGGATTTACTCCATTGATTGTAGCACAACAGCAGGACTGCAAACAAGTTATTTCTATCTTGGAAGAATTTGTGAAAGAAATTGAAAGTGTGAAAACCTCTGCTGTTGAAATTCCAGACAAACCTCTGGGACCTCTTTCTTTCAAAGTTTGTGAAAAACTCACAGAAAAGTCTTGTAGTGGCCAAAGACTAAATGGATGTCATGAGATTAAGTTTGTAGTTGGACCTGAAGGAGGAATTATAAGCCAGTCTGGTCACCTTCCATTTTCCATGACTTTTCCAGCAAGATGTGTATCAAGATCTTTATCAGTTACCTGTTGCTTACTTAATGGGGCAGATCACTTGTGCCTTCCTCCTCTGAATGACAGTGAAGCTCTTGTTTCATATATATTGGAAATTAGGCCAGTTGGAGCGAAGTTGATTCATCCTGTTTTAATTGAATTGCATCATTTTGCTTCTTACAGACCAGAGAGGAAGGTATTCATGCTAAAGAGTGATCTTGGTGACTCCTGGTCTCTGTGTTATGAAGGAGATTCCCTACCATCCTCTGAACCATATGATAATGGCTTTACCTCAGCAACCAAGACATCAATATTTTTGAAGACACTTGTACTTCCTAGATTTCTCTGTATAATATCATCTATTCACATGGATGTGAAGACCATTGGAACAGATGGTGGTAAGATAGCTTCATCATTGGTGCCTGGTGCAGAAATAGTACTCTCTCCAGGATCCCTTTTGAAACCTGTTAACATTGGCCTAAGTGTACAGCCTGTCCCTATGGATCTAGTAAAGAAAGTGTTTGGTGATCATGTGACAGTAAGTCCAATTTTAACAGTGGAGCCTAGATATAGGAAATTTCACAAATCCTGCACTCTTTCCATACCATTAGTTAATAAGGGGACAGCAAGTTTGCCTGTTGATGATGGAAAAATAATTACTTGTAATAGCATAACCAAGAAGGATCACTCTAACAGTGAAGGGGAACTTGCAGCACAGCCTAGAAGCCAAGACACTCGCAAAATGCATCTTGTCTGTAGCTTAACAGGAGGAAATCAACGAGTAGAGTGGTTAAACATCACAGGCTCCACTTCTTTGAAAAAAACAAAACTTCTGTGTCCCTGTCAACTTATGTAACAGGCCGCTACTGTCTAGTGTGTCAGTGTTATCCCATTACTCCAGTGTGGTGGAAAGACATGGTTCAGCTTGTCAGCGAACTCTACCAGGAAGTTGTCAGAATACCTATCTTTGTTCGTTTTTTTCTTATGATGAAAAGGCTGAAACGTGGGAAGGCTGAGATCTGCATCATTTGTCGAGCCAACGTTGATGGGATGGGCACCAATCATGTTGAAGGGTTTTCTTTGGCAACTCCAAGCTGCACAGCAGAAGTGTTTGAAAAGGAACAGTTACATCTGGATGTGCAAGGTAATCTGCGTATCGATGGTAATTGTTCTGATCAAAACTATATTGAAGTTCATTCCTTCAGGCAAAATACAGTCAGATGTTTGTTAAAGGTTAAAGATTCTGCTCGTCAACCATTCGGATCAGTCAGAGTCACTAGAAACCCAAAGGTCATGCGAAGAAATGAGGGATCCTTTGTTGTCTGCTCTTTTGATGTAAATCTTTAAGCTCTTGACTTTAATGTACACTTCTTCAGAAAGTTTCATAGTTGTGATAAATTTGTTGATTAAAAACTATGCATATAGATTTATATTTATATCTAGAAGGTATATATACCAGATGAACAAATTTTGTTTGTTTTTTGCATGTACAACACAGAAGCAATAAGTCTTAAAAATAGTAGTTTATTCCACATATTGCTCTAAAGATATTTTTACTGAAGTATTCATTTATGTTATAATACTAGTACTATATACAAGTAACATAAAATATAAGTATGTATATTCATGTAGAAAATTGTATTATCTTGTTTATAACATAAGCAACTCTTAAATCATTTACACATAAGTTACATAATTTTGTTTCTCATCAATTTTATACTGAATTGTTAGTTACTCTTTGCCTTGCAATTTAGATTAGAGAAACATTTGAAATAAAAACTAAGTGGTTCCTTTAAATTTTAAATGCATTAATAATGATATATTTTTTTTCTACAATTGAATTTTTGATAATGCACTTGCATCATCTGTCTTTCACAAATAAAAGTAGTGAAAAAAGTTATATTAAATCTCATAGTTGTATTTAAGTAATTCTTTATATGATCAACATTAGTATATGTCGTAGGGTAAAGTAAGGGTAAGAAAAAATTTGTATATCAAGAGGGATTTTATTGTATGTTTTTTTCTTTCAAATCAACACTTGTATATTCACTTGAAATTTCTTTAAATACAGATAATACATGGTAAATTCACAAAATATTTATTAAACAGTAAAGTTTATATTCTGTTTTGTAAAAGTATTGCAGAAATCTTGGCAGCAAAGTTGATCACAAAGTCAAAACATCAGATTAAAGAAAGTAAATGATATATATATCAATTGTTTATTGATCAAGAAAGTGCTCTGCAAACTTTAGGTTTAACAGTTACATGACTTTTTTGTTTTTTTCTTTTATTTCATAAGGGATATCTTAATTTCCAGTAAAAGTAGCATGTACTTTTAACAAAATGTAAAGAAGTTTTGATGAATGCAACGAGTAGCTTATGCCAATGATTGAAATATTATTTTTATTGTTGACATATTTTTATGATATAAACTTTTGGCCATAGAAAATGACACCAGTTCAAAGCATGTTAAATTGGTTGTACTAGCAAATGCCAATATTTGGTGAAACTATTTAAGGGTGTTTTTTTTATTACATTATTAGTGGTATATGGTTTTGTGATTCAGATAGAATTTATATTTATTATTTCAATAACCTTTTAACAAAAATTATGAAACAGCACAGGCATTAAGAAATTATTGCAGTATTTTTGACATTTTATCAGTGTGTGTTATTTTGTTTTTGAATTGACACACTTTACTCATGACATATGTATATATTCAGTGGTAAAGGTGTTAAGAATGGAAACAACAAATGTGAAAAATGGAAGTTAGATATTGGGTCTAGTCATTTCGTTGAACATTTAAGATTTGAAAATATTTTTAAAATTAAGTCATAGGATGTCATACATCTCTTAAAGTAGTTGTACATAGATTTGAAAGGGAAATGTAGCAGTAGTTAGTGTAAGATGTATGTTTTTTTGTTAATGGACACATTAACATGTGTTGTTGTTTGATAAGATGTGAAAGATCTGCTTTATGCATTTTTTGTATTCCGATAATGAAAAAGTTTCCCAGTGAGGTATTTGCTTTATACACCTTTATGTTAAGAATTGAACTTAGCAAGCTTGGAATTACTTGCACATCTACCGGACATCATTACTTGTACATTTGATAGCAATATATCATGAGAACAAGTAGGTTTTTACATATAATACCATTAGATAAGTTTATCTTCATGACGAAAAAGGTTTGCAATAGTTGTCGTATGAGTATAAACAGAACATTTTTATACACTCTGGGAAGAGTTAGTGTGACATATGGTTGTAGTATTTGTCTTATAATTATGGAAAGAACATTTTTACGCATTCTGGTAAAAGCTAGTGTGATATGTCTTTCTCATGTAAGCATAAGGATAACATGTAGTTTTTAAAGTGTTAAAAACATGCATAATTAATCATGAGGTAGATAGGTAAATTGAAGACTTAAAAACAAGAAAGTTTTATCATTCATTTAATTGGGGTTGTGAACTCAATACTTTTATTAATTTATTTGAATTATACAGAAATATTAAAGATTTCTCTTAAAACACTGAAACAGAAATTTCATGTCCAGGTTCAAAAGGAGCATGTTGTTTTTCTTTAGAAATTTCTCTTTGTATTCAGCAATATGCTTTGACATCATGCAGATCCTCAAATGATTGATACAGAAGTAATAGAATCATGCAAGCATCCTTCATCTCCATAAAGTTGTATTGTATGGCTTTATCTTTTTTTTTTTTGGAATAATTTTTTCTTTCCATAAGTGTGAAAAGAAAGTAATATTTTTTTATTTTTTTTTAATTTTGGCTTCTAAGCCATCATTCTGAATTATAATAGCACACTGAGGTATCAAACATTCCCTCCTGTTTTTGAAGTTGCCACATAGTTATTCATATTGTTATATATTGTATCTTCACTGACCATGTTATGTGCAAGTTGTGGTTTCATCATTGAGAAAAAACTTACTTTAAAGGGTGCATTTATTAGTTATACAACCTTTCTTTAAAAGAATATGATATATTCAGTGTGTTTATAAGGATATCAACTTTGTGTTGTCTCAACTGAATGGGAACTTTTAACGTAATATGTGGATATTATGTAGCTCTTTGTGTTGTGCTAAGATAAAGCCTTACTGTATGGTTAAGTGTTTTAACTGTACCCTGATTGTTTTTATTACTAACATGAACAGATGTACATTAGGTGCCTTATCAATACAAGTACTCATGATGTGATGTTAAATATATAAACAGTATATTTAATAAAACTTTATGTATGTATATTGTTTTCATAATAATCTAGATTAGCATGAGATAATTCTTAGTTTATTATATGATATTGAATCCATACTTGCCATAACTATTTTATTTTTACTTTCACTAGAGCTTTTAATTTAAACAATGTAGAAAGGGCTATACCCAAGATCTGTCATTTAGTTTTCTCTCATTTTTTCACTTCTAAACAATTTTCCAGGTTCAGTAGTTTTATGTTTCATGATTGAGATGTTAAAGGCCAATGCAAGTTTGACAAAATATTATAAGCATTGCTTAGCAAACCAGATCAAGTGTGAAAAAACTGGCTTAAACAACTTCTTCAAATGCTTGTTATAAATGTAATATAGTTCAAACTTAATTGTAGTGTATTCTGATAACAATTTGCCTTTCTTTGAGACGCCCCCCCCAGTAGCACAGAGGTATGTTTGCGGTTTCGATACCCGTGGTGGGCAGAGCACAGATAGCCCATTGTGTAGCTTTGTGCTTAATTACAAACAAACAAACAAACCTTTTTTTGAGAGAGAGAGAGAAAAAAAAGAATTAAGTTTGTTATGTGTATAAGAGAGTAGAGCATAAAACTTAAATTGTATATGTTTTGTGTTATTGTAATTACATGTGAATGTTAATAACTGTTGTTTTGTGTATGGAGATTAAGATTAAAAGTCAAGTAAATAACTGGCACCATAACATCTATCATTCCCATATGCCTAGAAGAGAATAATTCAATACTTGATACAAATAAGAAACTTTTAGATCCATAATTAAAACAGTGCTAAAATAAATGGAATTAAGGATCAAGAAAGATTCTTAAAAATATTATGTTGCAAGTGTATAATTTGAACTGTTTCAAAGATAGTGGTATCTAACTTGCATTTACATATACCTAATACCAATGTTGTAGTAACTTGTTATTCAACAGCTATTCTTGAAAAAATGAAGCATTCTACAACTATAAATTTCAATTTGTTTAAATTCTGACTTTTAAGTTCATCAAGATTTCAACAGTTTATGTTATTTGTGCCTTTTTTCTGCTTCAGCAGTATTTTTTCTCTATTTAAATGATATTTTGAAAAGTAGGTGATAGTTAGTATGATAATAAATAATACAAAACTTCAGAACATGCTCGTGATTGACAAAGCTGTCTAGGCTTAGGATTAAAAAATATATACGTACTGTACCTGTCAGCAAGAAAATTGAATCACTGAGATACAAAAAAATATATGCATACTGTAACTGTCAGTAAGAATGTTTAGTCATCAGGACATAAAACATATAGGCATACTGTAACTGTCAGCTAGAAAATCTGTTGAGTCATTTAATGACCCTCTGACCTGGGACATTTGGTTTGATTGATTCCAGTAATCTATCTTACAAATGTGTAATAACTTCTACCAGAATCATGCTAAACATCTACAATAACAATTATGAGTGACAGGCAAACCACAAAAAGCTTTTATGACCACTCTGACCTAGGTCATTAGTTTAATACCCTTGCTGCTTAAATAATTAAACCTGGGACTGAAAGAGCTCAATTATTTTTTTGTCTTATTTGGTAATTACTGATTAAATCATTTGAGAGAGACTTAGCCAGGATTAATTATATATGTTTACATGTATAATATATTTCAGAACATACATTTTGTACAGTTGTATGTTTTAGTGTCTGGTCTCAGATATACTTTTTTTAAAACAATAGATATTTTATTCAGCTAGATGATGTATGAAATCATAACTGCCACTTAATCAATTAGCAGTTGATTTTTTTTGGCAGTTTTTAGTCTAACCAGAAAACAAGTGCTACATGTTATCTCCTTACATGCATACATTTACATATATATGGAATGCTAAGGATAGGAATACCTCATTTCAAACTAAGCTAGGTTTTGTAATATTT